TCCAATTTGGTCCAAAACCTCATGGTGACCTAGATCTCGGTCCAAAGTATAAGGGTGTAAAGTTTGGTTCAGATCGGTTGAAAATTGTGAGAGGAGTTAAGGACAAAAGAATGGAATTTCGTTTTTATAATTTTTTGAGAGAGAAATGAATAACGTAGCAATCTACGAAAAGAGTAATAAGAAATATAATATATTTTTTTCTCTAAAATTTTTCAAATTAAAACAAGCTTCTTAGGTGTCCGGTAACTGGGTATTAACGGTACGTTAATATTTTTATTTAATATAGTTTTTGTGTTAACAAAGTATTATCAAGATAATTCCAACCAGTTAAGCATATTTGATAAGCAAAACATGCATATTTATTTGGCTTGTAGATAAGTTTTGGGTACAAACTATAAAGGGTGTTTAAAATAATTGAAATTGTAAGTTATATTTATTTCAATCGTGTAGAAAGTAGAAACAAAGAAATAAAATACTGAAAAAAACGCACAATGGTAAGTTAGGTTTGCGAGCGAAGCGAAGCGAATTAACGTGAATTATTTTTAAAAGACTCAGTTTTTCAACATTTTATTGGAGTTTTTTGTATTAATTCGTTGTCAAATGTAAACAGAAAAGACGGGCGTTGCACATCATTTTGCATTTGAATAGTGAGTTTTACCGTAATTTTTTATCGTAAGTGATCAATCAGTGCATTGATTTGATTTAATTTCACCATCGTTTGCCACAAACATTTCAATTGTTCTGCATTTTTTTTCGTTCGTTCATAGATTGATCCATCACCATGGTCAGGCAAAAGCGGTACAACAAAAACGTGTTACAGTGAAAGATTCAACGGAGCTAACGGATAAGGACAAAATCTTAATTAACGTGATCAAATTGGCATTAAATTCGATAGTTGTACCGGAATATAATGACATGCTAATCAAAATATTTTTCGTAAAATGTTTAAACGCTACGCAAATCATGACTCTCGCATCGCTGTTGATGTTATTCAAAGTCAACGAAGCCGCTGATGATGACAACTTGAACTTTTTCGTAGTTGAAAGTGGAAATGGCAAAGAAAATGGAAGAGAAGTCCTTCGCGACTGTTTCAACTCTGTGACGTTGGATAACATCAATGATCCGAAAACAGCACAAATGCTAGCCGCATTTTACGCGATGGTGCGACAATGGAGTCCAAAATTCAATTGGCCAGTACGTAGTCAGATGACTCGCGCAATTGACGCTCTCATCGATCAATATAAGACTAATTTGAAGACTAATTCGGAAAAGGGTTGTTGGTCAAAATTGACGGGTTTTTTGCGATTAAAATGCCATCAATTTAATTATAAACTTGTAAAGCCACAACTAATTCAGCCATCCAATTATTCACCTTTCGATAACACTGACATTTTAAACACCATGAAAAATCTGATGCTTAATGAAGATTGGACAGACAACGATGATGAACGACAGGTGAAAATGAGCATTTTATTTGAAGAAGTTCGTTCGCATTGTGGCCCATCATTCGAGAAATATCTCACCATGGTTGAATACATATCTAACAAGAATGGTTCGAGTCATTATGGATGTGGATTCGTATCCAATGCATCGTGGCCCAATTTAAGCGTGACTATGCTTTTCTTAGCCAGCAATGGAAAGCATACAATTGCGATCGAGAGAACAATAAAATGCCATGCTTGCCGAAAGTGCCAGATGTTAACAATTTCACTGTCATACCATTCTGCGACACAAAGTTGTAGCACATCAAATTTGATCAACCGCTCAGGTCAATTACGTAAGAATGGAAAACTGGATATCAAAAGCGATTACCGTACAAACTACGCCAGAACTGAGAACAAGGACGCTGCATGGGCACTTTTGTTTGACATGAAGAAAATCAAAAAACAACGAACGGGTACGAAGGAATTTTACCACCGAATTCAAACCAACAGTGTCGCAGTGTCTGTGTTATTCAGCAGACCTAAGCGTAAAGGAGCCGGTGTGAATTTGGACCAAATCCAAAAAAAGTACAAAAGAAAACCCCATGAAGGTATGAAGGTGGTTACAGCAATATATCAGCTATCGATCCTGGCCTGTTTGAATCTCAAGACTCGAAATGAGGTAAGTTTGGATAGTTTTCGAAAATGTTTGAAAATTCAATGCTAAATAAAGAACAATTTCACAGACCAACCTCAGAATATCGAGCAAGGAATTCCATTGACGTACAAAACAAGGCACGCGAGACAAGCAAAATAACCAGCGGGTACACGCACAAAGAACAACGTGACTTGAAAAGTTACACTAATATGCCCTCACCGCGAGGAGTACAATGGAAATCGTACCTAATCCACAAATTCAAAATGCTATTCGACAGTCTTGGAACGTAAAGCAGGCGAAAGTATTGCCAGTTGGGTTTGCACAAATACATCAATTCAAATCGTTTTAATGATAATATGGCCAACTGGATTACCAAAAAGGAACCTTCACTCGTTCATTACGGAGATGCAAGTTTCCCGGCCATTTCTCGAATCGGACTAAAAAGCAGAAAGAGATGCCCACAAGAGAGAAAACTTGTGATCAGTCTAAAAAAAGGAGGCAATACGGATGTCCACGTGGTAGATGAAGCGTAGACAACATTGCCCACTCTGAACGACGTTTACCGAAGGCAACCAAAAGCGATCGATGTAAAATGAGCATAGATTGCCCAGGAAGGTAGATCTTCCATTGTATAAGGATGCTATAAACATACCACCGATGATCATCACTTGTCGCAGCGAACAACGCAAGCAACGGGATCGAAAGCACCTCGCCGAAAAGAACATCGTCAAGAAAAAACCAACGAGAGCTGAAATAAGCCAAAAACATCAAATGAATTGCCGAATTGCCTGTGCATCTCCAACAAAAAGATGTGAACGACGGCGTAAGCTACGCCAAGAACAGCTCATGACAGGCAAGCGTCGAATTGCTCGCCATGGAGGACGGCCAAAGCGCAAAGTGAAACCCGGGCTGCCACCTGTTCTACATATGGGTGCACTAGGCATCCGCCGAATAAAACCAAAGTGACACCACAATTACTACCGATCTATCGACAAATTGGCAACATAACAATTCAAAAAGTACCAATAGTAAGCCGCCATCGAAATGCACGCCGTCGAGGTGCATGCCGAAAAACGATCAAGCCGCACGACCACCACAAATTGATATATGATTAGGGGATTTGGGGTCAAAGATGATTATCTTCCAGAAAAAATGGTACTGATGATCAACTGTTTGGGATCGTGACATTGCGGCCGCCAAGTGAATCATTTTCAAAGGTAAGTACACAATATATTTATAATTTGTTGCTGTATCTCAATTTCAGTTTCATTTGCAATTCGATTGTTACAGGCCTTTGTGAAATACTCGGATTGCCAATACCCGAAACGTTTATATTAAATCCAGATATCCGTCAAAAACAGACAAAACCATCATCGCGCCGAGCATGATAACATGATCATCATTATAAATACATAAAATTAACAAACATTTTCAAAGCTTTGATTCTGTGGCTTTGTACAATTCAAATTGTGTGTGGAAATACAAAAAATATTTGCAATAAAACGTAATGAGTATTTAGAATTACTTAGCATGCTCGGCCAACCGCAATGAACCACAACAATAACTAATCAAAAACATTCCCGGTCGTATTCCTTCACGCATTTTATTTTTTCTGTTCAATCTCAAATTTAAGGAATGTTGTTGTGATCATGATTTGCTCTTAAACTAGATATTTCAATAAATTAATGCATTTATATTAAATTACAATGTTTTTCAAAGTCACAAAAAATTTGGATTTTTGTATGGGAACCATATGGCCAACAATATGTAATGCAAATTCACCCATTACCAGGCACACATTCACGGTCAAATTTGGACCCGGATTTGTGTGTAGTTTAAGTCATTTTCACGGTTGCCATAGATGGTAAACAAAAACAAACAGGAAGTTCAATAAGAAGTGTTATACAGATTTGCTGCTGATTCAAGACGATTAGTTTTTTAAGATTTTTTAATTAAAAACCTTGTCCTTTTTTCTAAAAAAAAAAAATTAATTAATTAAAATGTCATCAATATTTATTGCGAGACCTCACTGATCAAATTGCTGCGGACGCTCCTGCCAAGTTTCTTTATGCTCACCAAAACTTTTGCGATCCTGGACATTTTTTCCGTCTCTTCCGGCAGATTGGGTGGCATCTCTCTGATACACCAAAGAAAATCATTTACGGCATGTTGTTGGTCACGGTTACGATGATCTTATCATTTACTTCGTTCGAGGGTTAATGCAATGATCAAAATCCATTCGTGAATATTTACGCATTGCATATGCTGACATTCCTTTTCATAGCATTTTGATACGATACTCAATGCACCATTGCCTTCAGATGATTCTTTTCTTCTATATCAAACAATCCAGCCAATTTTTTCGCTATAAATACCACGTCTTTCCTCAACAAAGTGAATCTGTTTTCTAATTCGAATGACAAAGTTTTATTGTCAAATCGCTTGGTGCGATTGTAGTTTCAAAGTGATGCAAGCTATATACATCAACAATACTGTCAAATGATGCGAGCAAATTTTTAATACATATAAATAAATATTGCTTTGTATATGACATATATACAAAGCGCGCCAACCGAAAAATGTCAGAAAAAAATCAGTTGCGTTTCGAAAATTTAAATTACTAATTCCACAAATAAAGGAAAATAAATTCAATAAATGACGTATAAGAGAGTTCTACTGCAAAGTTTGAAAATAAATCTTGTATATCTTTTATTTCATATTAATTGTTTATTTTTTTATTTGAGCGAAAATTCAATTTTTTCGATTTTCAATTTAAAACTTAATGGGCTGAGTTCACATTATGTTGTAAAAAGAAATATTATTGGAAGTTAATGAAATAAGTCAATCCATTCCATTGGTATTCGTGATTGAAAACTATGCACATGTTCTTCGTTCCATTTGACACGAAATTGACTACAAGAATGGTCGAAACGTTACATTTCAACGTTAGAATGTACTAAAAACATTACAAATCTGTGGCGCCACTAGCGGAAACTTCTTGTTAACAACATGTCTTCAGAAATGAATAAAAAAAACACAAGCGTGTGACAAATTCACACATATTGCTGTCTCACTCATAACAAGTGTCAAATACGAAATTATGACAACTAATAAAAACAATTTTGGTTTCTGTTGGTTTCTTAACGACTATCGGGCTGTACCTACACAGACTCACACAAACACACTGTCATATTTTTTCTTTCGTAGATAGCACAGAGCACCTGATATATATCCAGAACGCAATTGTGAAGTTTAACGCGATTTTGTTAGATTCAAAGTGTTGTCTATATTTTTTTCGAAAGTGAGTATATATCTAGAAAACTATTCACCGTAATCTAAGAAATTCAGTTTTGAATGAGTTGTAGTGAAATGAAAAAATTAGAAAATTAACTTGGTAGTAGTATTAAGTAAACTGTGTAGACAGAACCATTGTTTATCATTGAATGATCTCATAAGTAGTGGATTATTAGTAAAAGAATTAAGATTATATGAGAAATATGAAATGAGTTCAATTTGTCTTGTGAATGTCATTGATATCGGATTTTCAGAACTCTTTTATAATAATTTTTCAATACTACAAAACAACTTTTCATATGGATTTACACACATATTTATTTTAATATTTGTTATGATAACGTTATAATAATTTGGATAGAAAGATAATGTTATTCTGAAGCGATATATTTTATAGGTTCCAATGCTATAGAAATTTTAAGGTCAGACGAGGAGGCGATGACTTCTACTGTAAGTCGGAAATAAAACCACAAACAAAATTTTCCTATTTATGTGAAAATGGCCATGCCATTGGTTCTTTGAATTTATTGATTTTTTTTAATGTTTTGTTTCGCCTGATATAACAATAGTTATATGGACTCGAATTTATTGTCAGTGACAAACATCGATGCATCTACACGATGTAAAAACACGAAGATATAACTTCGATAAAATCGTATAACGTGCCAATTCCCAATAAATGCAAACTTAACATTATGCTTTTGAAAAATCTAAATTTATATTTTATTGTTTCAAGAATCAGCCAATTTCCGTTTTTGAATTGCATATAAATTTTAACAGCTTAAATTTTGATATTAAGGCTCTGAGGCCCGGTAGCGCATTTTTAAAAAAAAGATACATAAAATCGCTCAATTCAACTACTGAACTGAAACTTAAATTCATCCGATTCGGAATAAATATTGATTATTTTTTCATTTTTTCAGTTATATTTTACAAAAAAATATATTTTATTCAATATCTATTATGTTAAAACAATAATTGATTGCTATAGAATAAAAACAGCGTATGAAAAAGTTGCATTTCAAAGCGAAACACCGTCATACAAAATACAGCAAAAAATGTATGTAAAAACAACCTATGGTGTGCGACCGTATCATACGCTGTATTTATTCTAGAGAATTCAATTTTCGTCGTATATATTCAATGAATTTTGAAAAAAGAAAAAAATTTTTTTTATTGAATTTGCATGTAAAATATACGTCGGTAACGTTAGTATTTTGACCTGCCCGGTTAAGGGTTAAGTATGAATTAGCGGTAAAAAAATTATTGTATTCAATCTATTTATGCGTGTAAAAGCATATGCCATACCAATGTCTGTTTTCAACACTTTTCTCTCTATCATGTATAAAACATTGATAATTGTCAAGGTTGTGGCCATTAAGAGCCTTTTTGTGTAATCTATAAAACAAAGGTCGGAATCGCTATCATGTTTTCCGTACTTTAAGTTGTTCGATTACACTGACGCTTTATTGAAAGTGCATGTCATTTGCTATTTTAGCGTTATCCAGTTTTTTACGGCTTTCATTCTACAACACAATTGTTAAACTTTACTTCGATTTCATTCGTTGTTAGCTTTGCTAGTAAAATTCACAAAAAATTTCTACAACATACTCGCAAAATATAGTAAAACAAAATCAATTATATTCAATATTTTAATACTTAATATATATATTTTTTTAAATTTTGTTGGTGAATATTCTATTATTTGGGAACACGTTTAGAAAGTGAAATTGACAAGTTTCAAATGCCATACGTTCTGATTAGGGGTAACTTGTCTAGTTACAGTCATAAATATCCATTTCGGGTTCTCGTTAGTGGACTAAAAGGTATTTCACTTTGTTTGAACTACACACATTAGAAATTACACGCGTACTGAGATGTGTTTTTTTATTTTTGAATTTGATTTGAATATCCTTATTAATCTATTTTTATCTGAGTTTAATTGCACGACATTCATTCCTTGCAATTGTAAAAAAATGAACAATACTTCTTATTTGATTTACGTTTTTTTAATTGCTTGCTGTATTTCATCATGAGTGCTTTTGCATGATTTGGATAACTGCAAATTAGTATTGTAGGTTTGAATTAATGTTCAGTTATAATTAAAATTAATGCACAACATGGATAAATGAATAGCATATTTATTAGGGTGGAACATTTTTGGCATAATTTTATGGTCACTTGGAAAAACATGTCTTTTAGTCCCCAGATTCAAGATATTAAGGAATTTTCAACTTACGGTTCCATACGTATAAGACAGCGACTTGAAAGGAAAGGAGGTACACTTTACTGGAAAATCATGAAAAATTGCAGTGACCCAATCACCATGAAAACTTGTGAATCTTATTTTCTGACCAAAATAAGTAATATCACCAAGTTTCATGAAATTTCAACCAAAAATAAAGGTGCCTCCCATACAAAATTTTCGATTTTTTATTTTTGAGAAAAAAAATAAAAGTGTTGTATGGGAGGCACCTTTATTTTTGGTTGAAATTTCATGAAACTTGGTGATATTACTTATTTTGGTCAGAAAATAAGATTCACAAGTTTTCATGGTGATTGGGTCACTGCAATTTTTCATGATTTTCCAGTAAAATGTACCTCCTTTCCTTTCAAGTCGCTGTCTTATATGGAACCGCAAGTTGAAAATTCCTTCATATCTTGAATCTGGGGACTAAAAGACATGTTTTCTCAAGTGGCCATCAAGATATGCCTCGAAATTCAAAAAATTTTCCACCCTAATCTTTATACTGGTTAAAATATATTTGGGGCCCAAAAGAAGAGGCACTTAATTTCTAGTTCATGTTCGTTCATATACATACAAAATATTAATATTGCGTCGCCTCTTTTACTTAAAGAGAACGATAACAATATTTAGTAAAAACAGCTCATTTTTTGCTTATGATTTTTGATTATGGCATTAAACACGTCTTTTGTTTGTGTTTACATTTCAGAGACGACGCAATATTAATATTTTGTATGTATATGAACGAACGCCTCGCTGAAAATTTAAATCAGAACATTTTCAGATTTACAGTATTGCGTCAAAGAAGTGTTTTATACTTATATCAATAGTTTTTTTAGTATGTTGATGACAAAATCCTAACGTGTGTTGAGACCTGATTTTACGTAAAATAAATGTCAAATTCGGTTTTCTCATAGCAATCGAATAAAAACCAGCTTTTTCCGAAATATCATTCCAAAAGAAAGCTTTCAAGCCGATCTAAAAAAATTAAACTAATTTCTCGAAACGTTTTTTTTTTCGAAATTTCTTTATTGCTTCATCAAGATGACCTTAATGTATTTCCAATAAGCTAGGAATAGCGTGATTCTGTTAAAAAACATCCCGTATTCCTGTGATCAAAAATGAAAATTTGCCGAAAAAACGAAATTGGAACATTGGAACGAATTTTTTTTTAAAAATTCGAATTTTCCCAGATCATAGCGGACGGCAGTTTGCGCGAGTGACGAAACCACATTAGTGTGTTGAAAAGTCGAACTCGCTATATATACACGAAATATACAAAATCCAGACCTACGATTGAGTTATGGTTAGAAAGCCCTTGGGCCATAGATCAAGAAAAAATAGAAAAAGTTTGAAAATCGATCCACCTGCCTTCAAAATATGGTCCTTCCAAGGAAAAGGTCAAAATTCAATTCTACGGCCATATATGGTACTATATGAGGTCATTGACCTAAAATAAACTTTATATACATTTGTAAACTCGGAACGTTGCTTCATTGCGTCAGTATGAACTCAAAGTAAAAAGGGAGGAATTCTGCAACGTTTTGAATGTTCAAATGTATATTAAGTTTATATTCACAGTACACAGAAAAAATATCTACCAACTATTTTCGTCACAAAATTGATATCAGAAATGTTGTGTTTTAAATTTATGTTTCGTCACTCGTTCTTCACCTCGATAGAGGTTTTTAATCTGATATGACACATACGCTAAATCATCAGATATTTGGTCCCCAACAAATAAGCAATTTTTCTAAAATTTGGATCAGGTGAAAAAAGTCATGGTCATTTTTCGGTGAAAATGTCACATAACATGCCAATATTTCCATTCTGATTTTTCCATTCTGTTTTTCTGACAATCAGTTTTGTACCATACAGATGGCCAGATAAATGTCCGATTGATGAAAAACTCAAAAACGGCCTCCCAAAATTGTTCGACTCCAGACCAAAACCACTTACGTAACGATTTTTTCGAAAAAAAATAAAATGTCTTGCATCCGTTAGATGAACTTTTCCGCGCTGTGATCCACAACATGCATTTATTACAAATCTTTTAATCAAAGAATTCAAGCGAAAACTGAATCTGACATTAGTTTTACGATACGAATAATTTTCCGAAGCACTTTTCCGATGGGAACTAGTATCGTATATTCCCCATACAAATTAATTTTATCGATTCTACGAATACGACATCTGTTAAAAAAGATACTGATTTTTGTTACTACTGTTGCTTTGACACAGCTCGAGCAAACTATACGGCTATGGCTGTATTACAGACGAACTAATACAAAAGAACACACAGACTCCGATCCTGTGTATGCGTATGTATTGTAAATTTTGCACAAGCAGCTACGATTGACGACTGAGTGCAGAATTTGTAATACATACGCATACACAGAATCGGAGTCAGTGTGTTCCTTTGTACGTTTACACAAGCTGTATTAAAACACCACTAGTAACAGAAATCGGCGAGTTTTTTTGAAGATGTCGTATTGGTGGAATCGATAAAGAAAAATCGACGATATTAGCGCTCATTGCACTTTTCATACGAAAACTACTGAAAATGGGATTTTTTGTATCGCAGCCATGATATCGTAATCATGTGAAAATTTGCGGAGGTTATTTTTTTCACAAAAAGTTAACATTCTGAAAGTTTGAAGAAATGTTAATGCATATTAAGGGTACTTCCCATACAAAATTTCGTTTTTGAGCGTTGATGTCCCTAATATGCGTTGAAATGTCTTCTTCTTTGTGGATTTTTGCATGAAAAGTCTGTGAAAAATTGATTGCATCTTAAAACTAATGTCGGTGTTGGGTTTCTCGTGACAAAACCCCCCACTTCACATTCTTTCAGCGTTCAAATTGAAAGAATATCATTTTAAGGCATTTTTCTCATAAGTGCCTCTTCAGAGTCTAAGTTTCACATCGATCAATCAATGTCGTTGAAAATTTGACCAGATCTATTCCTCGTAATGCCCAATCATCCCGTAAAGTCAGATTTTGAATTTCATGTCTGAGCACGAAACCATCGCGTCACCAAAATGGTTGAAAAATGATCAAAAAAGTAAAATGTATGGATTGTTGGTACTCCATTCGGACCAAAAAAAATTACACCGGTCAACATATATTGCTCAAAAACTAATCAGCACGTCTCCTAGTAGTCCCAAATCATCCTACAAAGTCAGAATTTGAATTGAGTTTTTGAAAGAAGATTTATCGAGTTAACAAATTTTGGCAACACGCCACAGGACACAGGACACAAGACACATCACACACAGCGACGCACATTAATATGCCCCAAAATCATCTCCATTCATGTTTTCTACATTAAATATGCATAGAAAACATGTTTTGGGGTGACTTTAAGTTTTTGGCCTAATACAATACCTTTCCTACACTAGGTGTGCGTAAAAGTAAAAATTTCGCACAATTTAAAAGAAACTACGGACAGACACACAAACACCCCAAGAGACCAATTTTGAGAATTTGGCAATTTTTGGCGCATTGGCCTTATTTCGGCCACTTTTCAACCGATCGTGATGATTCTTTTTTTTAACATTATCTACGCACTCTGACCTAGTTCTGAATATGGCCATATTTTTTTCGAACTGCCGTCCCCCGTGATAAATTGATTTTAGTATAACCCTATTATATTATAAATTAAAATGTCCATTAAATAGAAATGATGATTGTAACGATTATTTTTTTTGTTTCACACATATGTCAGGTATTGACAGCCAGAAACTTTATCGTAATCGCTATATTATGCACGATTTAATTAAATAGCCACTTCATTTCATCATTTTACAGTTCCATAATTTAACAAGCATTCGTTTTTATAAGTACATTTCATTAATTTCCATTTTCCATTGATATTATCTATTTTTCCGTGGTTAACCATTAAAATACTTATTTTCTTTCAATTTGCATTGAGTCATTTTCATCGTTCATTTTTAGCATCAGATATTGAACATCTGAATCGATTCCCATGCGGCGGCTATTCTGACGAGTCCACCATTGTTTATCTATCGCATCCATGTAAAGTTCTAACATCATTAGAGGTGTGTTCGTTATCACTTTATTTTGAATTCTACGATTGGACGTAATACTTCATCATATTAACGAAATTTGCATATATATTTTTTCTAGGATATAGGCTATCGCGTTGTAGCGAGCTCATCAACTTCCGTCAAACAGGATTACAACGAGTATATGTGGACTATGCGTGAAGTGACAAGTGAATGTGAACAATTGGCATTTGACTCACAATCAACCGTGGATCGAGATAACCTAGCGAACTCTGGTCGCGAATTTTCTGTCGGTCGCGAAGTGTTAGCCAGTCAACTTCATCATTCACAAGTTGATTTGCCTGATGAATAAATGCATATGAAATACCTACTACGAATATAAAACGAAGTGCAAAACACTTTTTCAATTTACTAAAACTGCTTCTATATTCAAAAGATATTTTTAATTTTGAAAATAGTTCCTTCTGATTTTTTGCAATTTTGAAAATGGAATCGCCACCAAATAATGTTGTAACAGTGGTGCCGATAGCACAATCGGAAGGTACATTTACATATGTTGCCGTTAAAGGCAGCCTTCATGCAAGCGATTCAGCTGTATTTGGTTTGAATGGCGACGAAGTGAAAGCCTTATCGAAACGTTTTTCAAATAGTACAACGGAAATTGTGAATGGAGTGAATATCAAAGGGCCTCCGATGAGTGTTATAAATTCATTAAGTTTGCTTGGTTATAAGGTTGTTTGCAGCACAGGAGAAATTGAAGTTGTTTGGACACTACAGCGCGAAGTTTAATATCACATTTCTATTCTATTTGCAAATAATATTTAAGATAAATTAAGTGCTTAATATTGGTCTCTTTTATTCGTTCTTGAATTACAGTGAAAAAAAAAACAGACATAAAAAAAACTGAGTGTTGTGAACAATTTTATTGAGACAGCAATATTTTACTCGATTTTTGATTCTTCAAAAATGGACCATCAACATGATACAGATTGCAAATGTAAGTCAACTGTTGCCGTTCAATCGCTGGACGAAATGGATTTTGAGCGAGGCATTTGGAGTGCAGCTCTCTATAATGATTTGAAAAAATTGGATAAATATATCGCCGAAGGTCACACCAACAATTTTGATACAACTGGATATACCGCTATACATTATGCAGCTAGGAGTGGCCATTTAACAGTTTGCCATAAACTTTTAAATGCCGGGGCATTTGTGAATTCATGTACAAGATCTGGCAATGTGACACCACTCCAACGTGCAGCACTAATGGGTAAATTTAAAAATTTTCGAATCTAGAAAATATTTTACTAAAATTGAAATGCCGTATACAATTATTTTTTCTATTAGGTCATGAACAAATTGTACAACTTTTATTAGAAAAGGGTGCAGATGTATTTCATCAAGACATTGACGGTAACACAGCTCTTCACAAAGCTTACGAAAAAAACCATAAAAATATAATAAATTTACTGTTGGATTCGTCATGCGATTCAACTCGTTTGGAAGGAATTTGCAATAAAAAAGGCTTAAAAGCTAAGGATTTATAAAAATAAAATATGAGAAATATAAGAGCTAATCTATAAAATTTAGTTGTTTTGTTATTTAAGTTGTTTTCTAGAATTACATTATTTTCAGTATTCTAAACGTTGCCATTGAAAAAAAAAAAAAAAAAAAAACAATTTATGAGCTTTTATTAAATAATAAAAATAATAATAAGGATAATAATAATACATTCTAAAGTTAAATTTATTTATTTTTTTAAATAATATTAAATAAAAGAATATTACAGGAGTAAGACGAACTTTTCCGCACGTTGATAGATGCGTATTTTATTATGCTAGTTCAAAATAATATTTGTTCGATTTTTAAAGCCATTCAAGCGGCGTAAAGTTCGAGACCAAAAATATATTCAAACTTTGGTATTGAAATATTCTCTAATTTAATTGCAGAAGTACTCGCAATAGATTTTTCACAGTTTATTTCATATGAACATTTGTATGACTTTTGAAAGTATTCTATTTTCTAACAAAACGCTATAAAAATAAAATGTCTTACATCCGTAAGATGAACTTTTCCGCACTGTGATCCACAACATGCATTTATTACATATCTTTTACTTAAATTTGACATCAAGAGAAAACTAAATCTGACATTAGTTTTGCGATACAAATAATTTTTTAATACAATTTCAAACAAAATTTCGTTTTTGAGCAAAAAATCGAAAATTTTGTTCGGGAGGTACCTCTAATATGCGTTGAAATGTCTTCAAAATCTCAGAGTGTTATTTTTGTGTGATAAAAATAACCTTTGCAAACTTTCAGCTCATTACGATATCATACAGTCATGGCTTTCATACAAAAATCCAAATTTTTTGAAATTTTTGTATGTAAAGTGTGTCGAAATATATTTGTATCGCAAAACTAACGTAATACCGTTTTCTTGTACCCAAAAACCTCCCAATACATATTTTTGAGTGTTTAAGAATACATTAAATATCACTTTTAGAAGAAAAATTGAATTTTTTCCCATTATGGGAGTCACACCAGACATGACACGTCACTCTATCAACCAAAGTCGCTCAAAATCTAATGGTTTCTATTCCTCGGCACCCCCCATTCATCCTGTGAAGTCAGATTTTGAATTTCTTTTCTTGTTTGAAAGTTATCGTTATAACAAATTTTTGCGTACAGGGTACGCACATACATTCGGACATCGAAAAAACGACCGATTCGTGTTCCCTGGCCCCAAAAATACCCAGAAAACACATTTTTGATGGGTGTTAATTTTTCGACCGATTTCAATACTTTACCTTACACACTAGGTGTGTGCGGAAAAGTAAGAAAGGGTATACCATGTAAAAATCTTTTTCCACTCGATTTGGTTCATCGTCCCCTCGAATTAGATTTTTTCTCACTCGACTCGGATATTTTTCACTCGAATAAGATCTTTTCCACTCAATGCGGATATTCTCCACTCGATTGGGTAGAAAATTCACTCGAGTTGGATTATTTCCACTCGTATAGAATTTTTTACACTCGATTTTTTCCACTCGACTAAGATAATTTACACTCGGTTTGAATTTTTTCCACTCGAATTAGATATTTTCCACTCGAATCGTAATTATTTCCACTCGAAACGGATGATTTCTAATTTTCAAGTTTTGGCAATATTTTTCGGGTTATAGCAATAAGTAAAAAACACTTCTTTCGAAGTTCCCAGTGTGACGCAATACTGTAAATCTAAAAATGGTCTGATATAAATTTTCAGTGACGCGTTCGCTCAAATATGTACAAAATGTTATTATTGCGTCGCCTCTTTCGCCGCAAAAAAATATGGAAACATACACTCTTTGTAGAAATACTAAACCGTTTTCCCATTTATTTTAAATTGTATATACTTGCAGCGGCTTAGTATTTTTTATGAACATATTACAAATAAATAAAATTGAAAATAATTGCTTTAGAGTAAATAACAGCAGATTTTTTGTTCAAAGTGAAACATAAGTTCTTCAAAAATAAAAACGCTCTGTTCTAACTTTTAGACATGTCAATCAATTTGTGTTTGCATTTTAGAGGCGACGCAATAATAACATTTTGTACATATTTGAGCGAACGCGTCACTGAAAATTTATATCAGACCATTTTTAGATTTACAGTATTGCGTCACACTGGGAACTTCGAAAGAAGTGTTTTTTACTTATATCAATAGTTTTGATAGTATTTTGGTTACCGTTAATATGTTCAAAATGGCAAGAGATGAAGATTTTTTTTTAGGAAATGTACCATGTACGAATTCTACCGCAAAATAAATGTCATATTCGGTTTTCTCGTATAAAAAAGCCCCCAAATACCAATTTTCATAGCAATCGACTAAAAACCATTTTTTTCCGAAATATTATTCCAAAAGAAAGGTTTCAAGCCGATTAATCTCAAAAAATTGAACTAATTTCTCAAAATGGTTACAACAGTTGAATTCCTCGGGTCCGAATTATGTAAAATCAGTTGTCAAAGTGGATCAACAAAGTAAAAACCTAACACATTACAGTGGATTACTAAGATATTAAAATATTAAGGTGATCGCTTAAGTTCAAACTTTTTCTTATTTTCACCAAATA